TCCACTCTTAAATGCTATTGGTCGCTCCATAGACGCGTCACTCTTCATAGACACACAGCTGGGCTCTGCTTCTGCTCTCTTCTGATGAACTGAACTAAAACAGAGAAGATTAAAGTTCAGCGCTGCACACACTGGAGTCAACACAGCAGATTTACTCAACATTTCATCATTAAAACACTGTTTAAACAGCACTTCATGATACTTTTCATGATGATTGTACACAATCTTGCTGACTGTGTGTGTTAAATATTCTGACAGATTAAAACCACAACTAACAGAGAGTAAATATAATATCCCCAGACAGCTCACATATGTTGGGCCGATGTCGGCTGAAGGACAACACATCAGCCCTTTTAATTCTAACATCTATATATGTTCAGCCAAACATACGCATGTTCATTCGGTCGTGTGTTCTATTGTTCCAGCTCATCAAACTGAGCACTTCATAAGCACTTTATCTCTCATGCCCATGAAAGAATCCAGCAACATATTTGGTTTACAAGTAAGTTTTCGTGTGCATAATAAATGAAACAAACGCGACATACATCATGTCTATTGCGTCAGTCGGTCCAGCTTTAAATTGCCTGCATTAATGCATTTAAACTGACCAAAATATCTACAACATATAATTTCAATTCAATATAATATAAAAAAGTTTTGTTTTCATTGTTATGTTTTTTTAAATAATGAAAACATTTTTTCCTGCTGTAAACTGGTTTGCTTTTTTTATTGTGGCTTTTTCTAAAGCATTTTTCCCAGTGTAAGTTAAAATCAAAGTCTGTTCTGCATTTCGGCTGTTATATTAAAATAAATACCTTTTTACAGAGTGACATCTTTATTTTATATACATGCATTTAGATTTGGTGCTTATTTATTTTTGACAGTGAATCTGAGGCACAAATAAAGTGTGACTTTTTTTTGTAACAGTTTATAATAATTTATAAGCTCATCGTAAAAATAATAGTGTATATAAAACTGCTAAATGCATTTAAATTCAAGATTTAATATAAAAGGTTATTATTTAAATTGTTTATGGAGTGATCATGTTTATTTATGTAAATACTGCATGACTTCGATGTGCGTGCGAGCGCGTCTCATTCCAACACTTGAGCGGGGAGGTTGTTGCTATGGGAAAGGAGGCAACGACATGACACGACGACACCACCTCAAAGACACAACAACTTCTCCCACGCTGCTGTTTTTACTGTTTTTAGGCAAGTTTAGTCTCTAAAACAAGACAAATACTACATAAAACTGTTCCTCACACTTTATAATTGATAATTGATGCATATTCTGTTAAATATTTATGTTATATAAGAGTGGTTAGTAGAGATGCTCCTATCAGCGTTTTTGTGGCCGATCACTGATCGCCAAAATCAGGATCTGCAGATTGCCGATCACTGCCGATCACAGAATGGCAGGGGATTGGCCATTCAATTAGGGCTGTGACGGTCACCATGACAATCGCGTCACCGCGATAGACGGCGGCGAGGGAAAAAAGCCGCCTATAATCAACTCTTATAAACGCAAACGCCCAGCTAGTCAGTCAGATGTCGCAGAGGCATTTCCAGAAATGGCCTGGTGCAAAAAAGAAAGTGATGAATAGAAGACATTGATGAGAAATGGAGAAACATATTTGGTAAGTTAAGAACGCGCCGCTCCGCAGTGTAGAGAAACCTGCTTACCGAGAAATGTGGGAGTATCTGTGCATCTGTGCTACAAGCACACCGTCTGAATGTGTATTGCTGGAAACATTATAATCCCAATTAGGTCTTCACTTAAACTGGACAAAGTCAACATGTTAGTTTTTCTGCCAAAGAATTTAAAATATGAACAGAAAACAAAAGATGGACAGAACTTACGCTGGTTTTTTAAACATCTGACTTATATTGTCAATAGCAGGCTCATATTTTTGTACTTCTTATAATTATTGCTATTTGTACTATTACGGATTAGTAAAGTGCAATTTAGGCCATTTGTTAAGTTCTTAAATATGTAACAATTAATTATTATTATACGGTTTCAAGCAGTTAAAGCTATTTGATATTTAACTACAGTATTTATAAGCAGTTTTGTGTTGTTTTATTAATGAAAGTTCAAAAATAAACATGTACGTTTATACAAATGTTTTATTAATTAATATTTAATTAAGTTATGAGTTATTCCTTAATTTTTACATAAAAGGTCAATTAACTTAGGTAGGCTACTTTATTTCTTGGTGGTACGGGAGGAAACTTTTTTTTGCCCGTGAATATGTTCTCTCTACTTAAAAAAAAATAAATAGATAAATATCATTATATATATAAATATCACAAAATCATTCTTCATAATCGGATTCACACATGCAATAAACCTATTGCGCCGACAAGAACAAGTCTAGAGAGAGAAGAGTTAATAATATGCAATGAATATTAGTTAATATTAATGATCATAAACACGAACTACGTTATGATAAACGCCTTCACAATGTCATGTTTACGATCTTTTCTGAAGAACAGATAATCCATGCCGTCTCCCCAGGCAGGTTTTCATCTGCTTTTTTTTCCTCTTCTCGCTACAAACAATAAAGTATCAGCGCCAGACCAGTGGTTTAAATTATATTTTACTCTCCTGATTTCTTTCCGTTTTATTTCAAAACACATAAATGTATAAAGTTTTGTATTGCATATATATTTTTAAAGATTATCATTCAGCCTACATGCAGTGCATATGAGAGGTTGATGCGGCAAATCTCCTTCACTCATGCACTGTACACATTTCATTTATGACACTGTAAACTTGACTTGGCAGGCTGGTCATCTTTAGACTCAAAAGGCATTTTTAAGTGTCCTAACTTGAGACTGCTGCTGGGATGTTTATTATTGTTAGCGATGTCAAAATGAAAGCAAACATTAAAAAGGGTTTTGCTTGTGGTCAATTGCATTGTTTCGTTTTAATAATATTGAATATAATAAATTATAATATTGATTATAGTGTAGTCTAGTGTGCAGTGTCCAACAAAACATTTTATTAGGTTACTCTAGACCTAATCCCTAACTGAAAAACAAATGTGAAAATGCAGTTGCGTCTCTGCTAAAACTAATTTAAAGACAAATTTCTTTTGAGTTTTTTTCCTGCAGAAAATCTGCAGAATCCTGCGGAATTCTGCGTGTCGCAGATTCTGTGTGGGGCTACTAATTCTCCTAACCTGCCTAGTTAACCTAATTAACCCAGTTCAGCCTTTAAATCTCATTTTAAGCTGTATAGAAGTGTCTTGAAAAATATCTAGTCTAATATTATTTAATGTCATCATTCTTTCATTCATTAATTTTCTTGTCGGCTTAGTCCCTTTATTAATCTGGGGTCGCCACAGCAGAATGATCCGCCAACTTATCCAGCAAGTTTTTACGCATCGGATGCCCTTCCAGCCACAACCCATCTCTGGGAAACATCCACACACACATTCACACACTTTATACACTACGGATAATTTAGCCTACCCAATTCACCTATACTGCATGTCTTTGGACTGTGGGGGAAACCGGAGCACCCGGAGGAAAGCCACGAGAACGCAGGGAGAACCTGCAAACTCCACACAGAAACGCCAACTGAGCTGAGGCTCGAACCAGCGACCTTCTTGCTGTGAGGCGACAGCACTACCAACTGCGCCACTGCTTCGCCCTACTGTCATCATGTCAAAGATAAAATAAATCAGTTATTAGAAATGAGTAATTAAACTATTATGCTTAAAAAATTCGGACTTCAACTGTGTGTATATATATATATATAAGTGATATCACACTCATAGCAGTGTGATATGGCTGTATATCAGCACTAGTGGAAGGCGTGCGTTAGTGTCCTACCAGTGCTGATATACAGCCATATTGCACTGTTATGAGTGTGATATTGCGTTTATACAACAGGGTTGAGTTGAGGTCTCTGAATAACACTCTTTAGAACTGGGATAGGAAAGTAACCATACTGTGGTGTTAGTAACTGTATCATGCATTGGGTTTTGGGTGGCCGCTGCGATAGGATACTGTACCAAAGTTAAATACCTGGGGGTGTTCCAGACTGTACCAAAAAAGGGAGTGGGGTGAAATTACAGGAGTTTTCTGGGAGAAAAACAAACGGGAGGGTTGTGGGAGATTGGTCTAAAATACAGGAGACTCCTGGGAAAAATGGGAGTGTTGGCAGGTATGCTTACCAGTTTTATACTGATTTGATCAGCTTTAGTTAGAAATTAGGGTGTTTTAATATTTTAAGGCAGGGGTGTCCAAAGTCGGTCCTGGAGGGCCGGTGTCCTGCTGACTTTAGCTCCAACTTGCTTTTAAAACACCTGCCTGGAAGTTTCAAGTATACCTAGTAAGAGCTTGATTAGCTTGTTCAGGTGTGTTTGATTAGGGTTGAAGCTAAAATCTGCAGGACAGCGGACCGCCAGGAACAAGTTTGGTGACCCCTGTTTTAAGGGCTTATTATGCAGTCACTGTCACCATCTTGAGGACAGATAATGTCAACCGTCTTTGGTCAGCTCAGTATGCCAGGCTAATGGCCGCTGATGCACTGTCAGAAATTATAAATATTTTAAAATAGGCACTATCCTTATAAATAAACTGCATTGTTGCAATCTAAACAACTACATTCTCCACTAAATAACAGCAGGAATATTTGTCAAACTGTAGACGGTCCTCTGCTTACTAGTGTATGTGGGCGGAGTAATACAGAAGGGTGAAGCTGGACCAGTGCTGTTATTGCAGAATTTCACACGGCTATCAGCCAATCAGGTTCAAGAACCAAGCAGAACTGTTGTATATATATATATTATAATATACTGAAAGATTCTCTGCATAAAAACTAAATCTGCCACTAGGTGTCTGTAAATGAGTCGCCAAAGTCATTGATTCATTTGATTTACTCAAACAACTGATTTATTCAGGAATGGCTCTCTTTACTGAATTGTTGGTTCACATAAAATATTAAAAACGGTCCATATGTGAGCAATAATGTGAAACACAAAATACCTTTTGGCAGATGATGGTGTTTTCTCTCTGAAGTTTAGTGGACGATCTTTAGACCGGTCACTCTTCAGAGACACAGAGCTGGACACACATGATCCTGATCTCACACTGAACACACAAACACATCATAGGAAAAGAAGCATCATAATCTGCTGCATTCATTCATAATTTCCTATGAGCTCAATTAGCTAAGGTTAAACCTTTATTATTCACTTGTATTGCCTCTTCCTATAGCAGCTGAATGTGTGTTAGATGAGTTTAAGTGTTCACTGTAGTTAAAGAAGCATTACTTGTATCACTCTTAGTGTTCATTATTTGCTCATAAATGTCCCTGATCATGCCGAATTTTACTTTTTGGATGTCAAAAAAATAATAACTAAAAAAGCTTGTGGGTTTTTATTTGTTCTATAGTTTAACAAACAAAAAAGTTTGTCATTTGTCATTGCAGTAATACACTGCTCACTAAAATAACATATCCTAAATCTGAAGGAATGAATTATTCTTATTAAATACTTTGTTCTTTACATAGCTAAATGTGCTAAAAACAAAATCACATATAAATTATCAATGTAAATGCGATTTATCAACCCATGGAGGTCTGGTTTTGGAGTCACACTTAAAATTGAAGAGGAAAAACACACTACAGGCTGATCTAACTTTGATGCAGTGTCTTTGACACAAGTTAAAATGGGGCTCAGTAGAGTGTGTGGCCTCCACATCCCGACAGTTTCTGGGCATCCTCCTGATTAGGTGGTGGATGATCTCCTGAGGGATCTCCTCCCAGACCTGGACTAAAGCATCTGCCAAATCCTGGACAGTCTGTGGTTCAATGTGGCTTTGGTGGATGGAGCGAGATATGATGTCCCAGATGTGCTCAAATGGATTCAGGGTCTTGGGTACAAGCGGGCCAGTCCATAGAATCAATGCTTTAGTCTTGTAAGAACCGATAACACTCCAGCCACATGAAGTCTAGCGTTGTCTTGCTTAAGGAGGAGCCCGACAGCACAGGTATATGGTCTTACAAGGGGTTTGTGGATCTCATCTCTGTACCTAATGGTAGTCAGGCTACCTCTGGCGAACACTGCATCTGCATCAGAAATGCCACCCCACATCACACCAATCATGCTGGAGGATGTTGCAGGCAGCAGAACGTTATCGATGGTCGTCTGGTAGGATCGATGGTAGGATCGATATGATTCTTGCCACAGTTCACATTGAAGTGCCATCCAGGATGAGCTGCACTACCTAAGCCACTTGTGTATTGCAAGAAGGTTATTTCTTATGAACTAGAAATTATTGTTCACGTTTTGAATGTCTAAAAATAACGACAAAGTTAGCTTGTATTTTATTTTATTTTTCTTTATAGTTTAATAAAGCAACAAATGAAGTTTTGATGCCATTTGTTAGGGCAAACTTGATCCAGAAGGGCCAGTGTCCTGCATATTTTAGCTCCAACCCTATTCAAACAGACCTCCCTATAGAGTTCAAGTGATCTTGAAGACACTGATTAGTTTGTTTAGGTGTGTTTGACTAGTGTTGGAACAAAACTCTGCAGGGACACCAGCCCTCGAGGATCAAGTTTGCCCATCCCTGGTCTAAGGGGTGATAATAATAGTTTTATGAATTTGTGGTACTTTTTGTGGTTTATTGTTAAAAAAATGTGATTTTAGAAGATTGCCTGACACGTGATAAAAAAAAAAAAAATCATTCATACCTTTTGGCAGATGATGGTGTTTTCTCTCTGAAGTTCTCTCTGGACAAACATGATCCTGATCTCACACTGAACACACAAACACACCAGAGGAATAAACTGCAGGACAAACTTTAAGAGTTTAATGAGTTTGTGTAGTTTAATTCAGCACAAACTAATAGTTGGCTGAAAGTCTGTCTGATCAGGTCTGCTACACAGATATCATGGGTAAACAGACACATGACTAGGCCCACACGGAATCTGTGCACGCACAATTCCACCGATTTTTAGCCCATTGTTAATTCTGTTTATTTACTTGAACGTGTGTAAATCTGTATTTATTAAGTTTTTTCATTAATTAAAGTAATATTATTGACTAATATGAAAATTTTCATCAGATTTATGCACAATGCAGTTTGAACAGTCATATTTTCAGTCTTTTAGTAGAGATATTATATGAGACACTTGCTTTGTTTACCAAATAAAGTGAATCATATTGGATTTGCATTTTAAACATTAAATAAAAGTTTAAAAGGTATTATTTTTTATTTCACATATTAAAGTTTTAGTCATGATACTCCCAAAATCATTCCGCAGAAATCCACAGATTTTTTACCAAAATTCTCAGCAGAAATAGCAAAAAACGTCCGCAGAATCTGTCTGGCCCTACACATGACACACATTGAGCTCTGGTAAAGCTGTCTGTAATCTAGAATGATTTAAACACATTTGCTGAAGCTAAACTGAAGCTTTGTCCATCATTTGATCAGGCAATAGCAGCACAAATAGGTGCATTGTTGTTGGTCTTTGTTCTTCAGAGAAAGTGTTGAAATAATGGTGTAAAAACAGAGTCAATACCTGTGTTTCTCTGAGAGAGAGTCCTTGACTCGCTCCTCTGCCATACTGCAGCTAAAACACCAATGCAGACATTAGCAGAGCTTTCAGGAAACTATCAGCCGCTGACCATCACCTGGAGATGACAATATACTGAGATGAAGAACAGCACACTTTATAGCAATCAATGCTCACTTCACTAACAACACCGCACTCAAACACATCGCATGATGAGGGACACCACAAACTGAGTCTCAGTCATCTCACTGCATTCACCGCATATATAAATAAAATGATTAACATTACTGCAGTTTGTCTGTCACGATAACTTCTGCTTTAGACAGCTATTAACTTATTATTTGATTTATTTATTTGCTTAGTTAATAGTTATTTAGTATTAAAACGTTACCAGCAGGCCCGGCCCCAACCAATTCGGCGCCCTAGGCAAGATTTTAGGTGGCGCCCCTTCACATCTCAGTAAATTCCACTGCTAGTGTTCATACAGTCATAAGAAACTAAATAGCTTTTTGATCGACTACTGCAAGCTGGGAAAACATCAGAAAAATATGCCAATGCAATTAACAATATTGCTGAACAGATCTAATATTTACACATTTGCTTGAGGAAGAAATGATGGACAGTTAATGCAGTTTAAGGATCATCCGCACTCTTCCGGTTAACGGAAGCTCTGCTTTCACTTTCGATTTCCGGACTCTGTTTAAAGTTTATTTTGTGCTGAATGATGTGACATTATCGAGTCAACCTGATATAGAAGTGCACAAACACTTTTAAGGGATAAAAAATAACCCATTATATTGTTCAAATGACCGTGTTTTGACCGTGTTTAATCGGTGTTTGAGGCTTTGAGCTTCAGGAGCAGACAGTGCTATAAACCACGCTTATAAACACGCTAATACACATATAAACCCTTCATCATCTCCACAAATCAGCGTAATGTAGAAGTGTTAAACTCACATGCAGAAGTACAGACGCTCTCGTGCAGCAGGAACACGATGTGAGCTCTTTGACGCTTTCGGTTTGCCAACTTCTTCAGTATTTTGGCGGTTGTCAAACTATAATGTGCTTCACCGCCTCCTGCTGGACTGGCGAATTCTAACATGGAGAGAGACACGGGGAAAATCTCACCATAAATTCAAGGGAAATAAATCGCTGATTAAACAAAGAAATCCGGTTAAAATTGTAAATTCTTTCTAACAGACCAGATTCTTTCAGACATTAATTATTGTAGCCTCCATATGTTGACTAGTATATAATCCAGAGTAAATGTAAGATTATATCTAATAAATACTTCTCTTATTATTTGTCTTTTGTATGGATAATCTTGACATTCTGTTATTACATGCTGCACATGTTTCACACTGATTACAATGTGAGTATAAGTCATGTGTGTGCTTCTCTATAAACACAGTGTCTTGTTTAGTCCTGTATGTGCTATTCTGAAGCGGTTATGACCATTTCCTCACTCCGATTATTCCCCATTTCTCTTCCTTCACAGATTCACCATTGGATTGTATACAGATGTCTTCCTGAGTCATTTATATCCCAGTGTTCCTGCCTTATACTCTCTGTCTGTATCTTTATTATAGTCTTGACTTAAGGAAGTCAGCTGGTAGAATCGTACGCTTGTGGTGAGACGCATGGTTTCTGGTTCAAAACGCCAACTATTTCTATAGTGTTATTTATTTATTTATTTTTGCTTGGATATCTGGACTTTATTTGAACTAAAGATTCAGTAAGACAAGCTGGATCGAGACGGAGAGTGGAAAGAAGGAGGCAGTTGGCATGAGCCGGTAAGTGAATGGGACATGATGGCAGGATCTGGATATGAAAATGAGGGCAATGGGGATAGTGATGACTGGGTGGCAGCTGGAAATGGGAAAGGCAAAGATAAAGGAAGAAAAAATAGAGATGGGGTCAATGAAAGGACTAATATAAGCCAAAAGAGGGGTCTGGAGGAAAATAGTAGTGAGGAAAATGAGCGCATGGTGAGAAGGAAAATGGATGAGGAAGATTTTAAAGTGATCATTATGTTTAGGAAGGAAGATGAACACATTTGTGTTAGCCCAGTTGCACTTACACACTGTTAAAAATTGTCCCGTTAAAAAACAGTAAAATACTGGCAGCTGCAGTTGCCAGCGATGTACTGTTATTTTACAGTATGTTGCTGTAAAAATACATGGACTACATTGATTTACACAATACTCAAGTGAACTCATTTTGCTCACTGAAAGCAACTGCCTCAACTTGGTCAACTGCTGAATGAGTTTATGAAGTAATGTGCTATATATGCTTAGAAGCATAATCATGATGATAACTTATTTTAGTTAATTAGAAAAGTTCGGTTTAACTCTAATGTCTTATTTTTCACAACAGCACACATACATGTAAATCTGGAATCACCAGAGAGATTCTGACTGCATCAGCCACTAAACAGCCGCTATCTTTAAATAGAGAAACATACAGAATAACATCAGCAGTTTATTGTTCATCTTTAACTCATACACTGGCTCTACTCTCCTCCACAACGGTGACACACAGAAGAAATTAGCTTCAGGTTTTACAGTAAAATACTGTTTTTTCCTTGATTTAACAGTAATCTACTGGCAGCTGTGGTTGCCAGCAATCTACTGTTTTTTTACAGTCTATTTCCGTTGTGTAAATTAACAGTATATTACTGTTAAAATACATTTTTACACTGTGTTTTTACCTCTCACACCTTTAACCCTTTAAACCCCAGAGCATATACTTCAGTTTTTATTGAAGTGTCCACACTACTGAGTGTTCAAGAAACATGTAGCAAAGCTGAAGTAAATTCATTAATTAACTGACTAATTAAATGATAATTGAGGATTAACAATGAACAAATGAAGAGATAGTGAAGGGAAAAAACAAGAACAGAACATACAAAACTTTAGTCACAGCTTTATAATGAAATAACCTGAAGAACAACAAATGATTAAATCATTTAAATGATCAGCGGATGATTAAACAACTCTACAAACATCATCACCAGCTACACTTATTACTTAATACATGTATTTTTGTATAACATCTACTAAAGTCCTTCTTGAGAAAAAGTTAAAGTTTTACGTCACCATCATGGAGAACAGAGTTTGCTTTAGTTGGGCTCTTAGCCCTGTCATTTTTAACATTTATATATCTTGGCTGCTGCAATTGTTAAGAACTTTGTTTAAAAAGCTCCTTTGTTGTGGCAAGCCAGCCAAAAACCTAAATAAGATCTGGTGATGTTCATGTTGCTATTAAATGGCAGAGTCTGTTCTCATTTAGTATAATAAAATTTACTGCTCCTATTCAATGTTAAATCTATTGTTTTGCATTATAGGTCTTCATATGGCAATGATTTCTGGAAGTTTTTAAGAATATCTTGGACAATAACACTGCTCTATGGTGTAAATCGCACTCAAAGAGACATCAATAATCAGCATATGAACCTCAATAATGGTGACAACTAACAAAATTAACAGTTTAACTCACAAACAGGCAACTGAAAGTCTAAACATAAACAACAGCAGAATCAAACACAAATAAAGAAAACTGTGTGACCATTATACAACATTTATTTATACCGCAATGCATGCTGGGATATTTGTACCGTGCCACTCCCAGCATGCATTGCAGCATGAAACATTTGAGATGTTACCATTGTTGAGATACAAGGTCAGATTCATGAGGTCTGAGTGTGTATTTGTCATAACTGAACTGTTTTTGTATGTTATTTCTTAACTGTTAAGTAATTACAGAGGAATCATTTCTGTTTCCACTTCTCATTAATTAAATTAATACCTGCAACTAAGCATAAAATCTATTGCATGAGGCCCTTCTTCCAGATTTATACCAAAACATTTATCAGAACTAATTTCAGACAAATAGATTTCTCTATTTATTGACTTTCTAACTTGACTGCTATAATACAAGCACTTTGTTAACTCTTTATTATAGTAATTGGAGAGTCTGAATTAATAAGTTCAAGGGTGAAGAGCCCAACTAAACCAGCCCCTCACTCCATTACGGTGACACAAAAAACACCTTAATTTCTGTTGGATCTCAATGGGAATAGTATGGAAGTCAAATCAGTCAGTAATAAGTGTGTGTCTGCTGTTGTTTGTGGAGTTATTTAATGATCCTCTGCTGAGACTGAAGCTGTTTTATTTTATTTTATTTTATTTAATGTTGTAACTCAAGTCACTGTTTGTGTTTCTTGTTTATTTTCTTCAGTAATTGTGATTATTAACAGCAGGTGTTCATCAGTGTCTGAATTCACTCATTAGTGTCCATTAACTCTGTCAGGTGAACTATATTAGTTAACTAGTGTATGAAATAGTGAACAAGGACACAAAGCGTGATTTCAAACACAGACTTCAAAACATCGAATCTGAACTCTGTTAGCTCACAGTTTTCTGCTGTTGGTTACTTTCTCGAAAACAAAAATGTTACCCAGAATGCACTGTTTTTAACAGAATATTACTGTTTTAGTGAAAAAACATTATTTTACCGTAGAATCTGACCGTTTTTTAACAGCAATTTTTTACAGTGTAGGATAGTTTAATTCATTCATTTATTCACACAATGCAGTCATATGGTATAGCTAACTAACCTTGTTTTCACGTGTCTTGGACACATATTGTACTGGAAAAATTTCCAATTTGCTGTGAAACTGGCAGGCTGTGGAAAAAAATAAAAAATTCTGTAAATACAAACCATTCCACCTTGATGTAACAGTAGCAAAAACAAAACCACAGAAAGGGAAGAATTCACCAGTGTGATTCTGTCTGACATCATGTCAATAATCTACAACTCTCATTTTTTCTCGCAAACTTTCCTAAATGTATTAAAAACCCAAATAATTTCTTTTTAAAATCACAAACAAGAATAAAGTCCTATTTACAATAGTTTTACTGACTTGTATAATTTTATTTAGTAAATATAAATAAAGTTAATAAATCCTTTGTTGCCTTTTGATGACAGTCATTCTTTTTTTAGAATAAGCTCTTGTGAATTCTCTGGTACTTACCGAGACGTTTAAGTTAACTTTGTGTTAGCACATTGTTGATATTGGGTCACAATGTATACGTTGGGTCGTTACACGGCATAATTTTGCATAATAAAGTCTTTTACCTAAAGTCTAATTTAAGATCTAGCAAAGATGGAGAAAACTTCCAAGAGATTACACTATATA